ATCAACAGCCATCTTTGATCCTCGGTGTCTGCAGAGCACATGTCCCGGTCTCTGTTCAACTATTGTTCAGATGTTGAAGCTAAGATGTCGAAATCGGCACTAATGAGGACACAGTTGTGCGATTACATTAATACCTGATTGATACAGATGCTTCATCATGCTCTACAAGTTTGAGACGTTTAGTGGTTGCATGGATGCTCCTGCATTTCTGTGGTGGGATTCATGGTCTTGTAAGTAGTTTCTCAAAGCGCCTCCTGGGGTCTAAATATTTTGACTTTTTGGAGAGATCTCCTGACACAAATTAAACAGATGCCAAAAATTTAGTACAGATCTGAAGGCTCAACAGAGGACATGCTGTCATCATAACAGCTCTCTCTATTTTCTCCTGTGGCGTCATCATCAGAGGAACTTTTATAGCATTTTGAGTTAATGTCTCAGTCATGAACCAATATTGGCTCTGACCTCAGCTGCACTTTCTGTTAGGAGCCAGTTAAAGGGATATTCCGGCGTAAAATTGATTTAGGGTGTAACACCGAGTTAGACACCCCCTCGAGAGATGAATGTTACCGACCGCTTGCTTCTCTAGTTATACCAACTTTAGTAACGACCGCACGATACCAATACACAGCGGTCTAAGGAGCCATAAACAAACCTCAACCAAAACACCACTCTATAACCACAAATAATGCTCAGAACAGCACCTAACTTCATCAACAGGACATATAGGGTCCAAGCCACAGCACTAGCCACCAAACATCTTTTTAACTTTGACTAATTTCTTTAGTAAAGAGACTAAACACAACTCACCTACTCTCTTCCAGCAGCCGCTTGTTTGTAGCGAGACCTCAGGCCAGTCCATTAGGGACTACAGCGGGGTGACGCAGCTCAAGGAGGAACATTTATGATCATTTCTGCATGGAAATACAGTCAGACCGAGACACTAAGGAATGATATAATGATAAAGAAATGATCATAAATGTTCTTCCTTGAGCTGCGTCACCCCGCTGTATTTCGTAATGACCTGGCCTAAGGTCTCGCTGCAAACAAGCGGCTGCTGGAAGAGAGTAGGTGAGTTGTGTTTAGTCTCTCTGCTAAAGAAATTAGTCAAATTTAAAAAGATGTTTGGTGGCTAGTACTATGGCTCTGACCCTATATGTACTGTTGATGAAGTTAGGTGCTCTGTTTTGCTATCGTGCGGTTGTTACTAAAGTTGGTAAAACTAGAGAAGTAAGCGGTCGGCAACATTCATCTCTCGAGGGGTGTCTAACTCAGTGTTATGGTGTGTTTGACCGTAACTTAATTTTACGCCAGAATATCCCTTTAAGAGACCTCAACTTTGACACAATGACTACTTCTGAATTTAAAATGTTTATCCAACAAACTAAAAAGCATGAATGCAGCACAGCCCAAATGCACGTCTCATTTTCCAAACAGGTGCATCAGCCCCTTGTTCAAAGTATTCAAATGTATTTATGAGCGACAAACATGAAACCATTTGTTTAACCAGATGGTCAACCTCTTTAATTTTGCCATAAAACAGGCGAATGGAAACTATTCCTCTGAGGGCCGCCTTCATCTTTTTCCCCTCATTTCTGATTGATGTTCGTTTAGTTTTCTAGTGCAGCATACCACAGGGCCTCATTTCATTTCAACTGTGATGACAGAAGCTCACTGCAGTCTCGAAAATATAAACTCTTCCTGCATATGGAGGAATCTGGGTGAAAGGTTTTTGTTATTACGTTGGCATAAATGCTGTGTATGCGGTGAGTTTTCCGGCGTATATTTATGTCTAGCCAAGAGGCTTCAGATTTCCCAGAGTGACCTCGGATTCCAGCGTGTTGACCCCACACCCTTATCACATGTTGGACTACACCAACTGTACGATAACGTATTTAATGGATGGCATGTAAAGGTTTATCATTTCCCTGTTTGGATAAATTTACCAGCTCTACCAATGTTTCCATGCATATTCTGTACAAACGTGCGTAAATAACTCCGTCTTTTGGGTTTTGTAGCTCAAAAAAAGGAGATAAAGAAAAGTGAATCGTGTTTTTCCTTCTCTGCAGACGCACCAAACTAAGATAACACGCTGGAGTGAGCTGTTTGTAAGCGAACAGCTCATTTTGCACCTAAAAATGCACAGAAGGAAACAGAATAAAGCGTACATCCAAGTCAGGGATCCTATATGCCGAGCGGTTCTACGGATACATGTGTGACACAAACAAAATGAAGGAAGTGAGATGACACCTGAGACCCAACAATCTCTCAGGGTATCCATGTCTGACCCTTTTCAACTGCAGGCTATTTCTGAATGCATTTACGCCAAGCGCTGCTATTTTCAGACAACAGGGGGGGGGACTAGTGCACTCTGTGCATGTGTGTATGTGTGTGTGTGTGCTTTGTGTGTGTGCATTTACAGGGGGTTGTGTAAGGTTAATTTTGAAAAACTAGATGTAAAAAGAAAGGACAAAGGCTGCTTTAAAACGTCTTGAAACATCTGCAAGGAAAACACAATTCAAAGCAAAAAGATCAAGTAAAATACAACTTATCTCAGATGTTGACTACAGGTGTTGTGTAGGACAAAACAGGGGTAGCTTAGAAATGATCAGAATCTTAAATAACATTTTATTATTTTATTGATTTTCAGTATATATTTGAGATCATTTTATGTCTTTTTGATTTTGAAACATTTCATGTCTTTTTGATTTTAAAAGATTTATTTCTTTTTTACTTTAAAACATTTTATATCATTTTGACTTGAGAACATTTTATGTCTTTTTGATTTTAAATTGTTTTTTTTTTTGTTTTTTACTTAATAGTTTTTTGTCTTTTTGATTTTAAATGTTTTTTGTCTTTTTGATTTTAAATGTTTTTTGTCTTTTTGATTTTAAAACGTTCTATGTGTTTTGGATTTTAAAATGTCTTTTCTATTATAAAACGTTCTATGTGTTTTGGATTTTGAAACGTTTTGTCCTTTTGATTTGAAATGTTGTCTTCTTTTTGATTTTGAATTGTTTTTTTGTCTTTTTGATTGTAAATTGTTTGTCTTCTCGACTTTACACCGTTTAATGTCTTTTTGATTTTAAATTGTTTTTTGTCTTTTTGATTTTAGATTGTTTTTTGTCTTTTTGATTTTAATTGATTTTTGGCTTGTACTGCATTTGAAGCCATGTTGGATGTCTGTTTGCAGCTTCTCACCTTTAAACCTCTCTCACTTCATTTTATCTCTCACCCTTTTCTTTCCTCTCTTTTTCTTCCTCTTTTCCCATCCCACAAAATCAGACTTTTGCATTAACTCTAGTTGAGTTTAAAGCCAAAAAATGTGTCTTGAAATGTCATCTTGAAAGGCATACTTTGAGTTTACAAGACACTTTTAAAGCTGATAGCTAAATTTTGCATTGTCATGATAACAGTTGTGATATTAACTCGTTAGATTCAGCCCTGAATGTAAATCTGATAACAGCCTCCTCCCTCTTAGCGCTCTTGCTTATAGTCTGAGTTTAATTTCCATACTTGGCATACCAGCAGTAGATTTGTTCACATGCCCTCTGCTTCAGAGAGCAGTGTCTCTGTCTGTAAATTATTATAATAATTTACAACAGATTAAAAATTAACCTTTTATAAGACTCTCTTAGCAGTGTGTTATTAAGACTCTTGATAGTTTAAGGGTTAAACGGAGGAAAGATTCCAACCCTTATCTCTCCTACCGAGGAGGATTTTCAGCATGATTGGAAACTTGTAAATAAACTAGACTAGCATGCCTGCTAATAGCCTGCTGCTAAAACAAATACTGTAGAGCTGGCCTCTCGCCTGTGTAACAGATACTCTCCTTTTCACTGCTGGGTTGCATTCACCGTCTGGCCTGGCGGGGGTTCATGTTTCGAAAGCTTGGCAGTGCAGCGGCATGTGAAAAATGTCCCCCATGTTGGGACTACAGGGGGAAAGTAGAACAATAGGGCATGGTAGTGAATTCTGATGTCTGGTGTCTGGTGCCACCCTGTTCCATTCAGAAACTAGGCCCCAATTAGTGACATAAAAAACCTGATTTTTTCCAAAACTCTCCTTCAACTTCAGCTTCGTTTATGGGAAAAGATTTGGTAGATCAGAAGAATTTGTACACAGACTAAAATCTTCCATAAGTCATATTAAATATATCTTCAATCTCACAAAAAATCCTAACAAGGCACCAATCCAAGTCCACAGAGGGCCTGGAAAAAACTTCTCATTGAAATATGCAAAGTAATTCATCTTTGAGACAACTCTGGGAAAACACGGCTGCTCCTATATGCTGCCAAAAGCATCGGAACAAGCTCTCCGTGTTGAACTAGTTTGTCTGATGTCTTTTACAATCGTACGACTTCCTTCAGTGACAGGATGTCCCAAAGCTTTTTCAGATAAGAATAAGTCTTTCAACTAAGCAAATGTAATTTTTGTATAAAAAAATCCTTTAAAGACTCAAATCTTAAACAGAAATACGCCTATTTTATTGCGTAAAGTGCATTTCAGAGTACATGAACTGAGGACGACAACTACTAAAGTTGTGTTTACAGAAAATATCAAATTGCACAAAATGAAAAGTATGATTTATTTGCATCTCTGCATTCAGAGGATATTCAGAAGAACCTGAGGAGGATCCTGCAACAGCACGGACACAAGTGAATAAATATCCCTGTGTAATTTTTCTGCATTCAGGCCACATTAATAAGAAACCGAGGAGGCCTTTCAAAATAAAAGACATGTCAAACATCGGATGCGCATTAAATATTAACTTTTTTGACCAGCTGTTTGCGACCCATCCAGAATGTGTCCGCGACCCGCTTTTGGGTTGGGACCCACCAGTTGAGAACCACTGACATAGATGTCACCCACTGATTTCTAAAGTGGCATTATGAGGCCCAACCGTGCCAGCCACCATCTTGGGAACGCTGACTCCAACAAACTTTCATCCGATCTTGACAGCCTCCAGTGGACACTCAAGGAACTGCAGTTATTCGCATTTCTGCATTTGCTAAACGTTGCCTTTTGAACTCAAAGCTTTATTAGCTTCCACCAGCAGACCAAATACCCCAAATCTCACGGTACCAATGTAGTTTCTTACTTCTTGTAGTGGGCGAGAAATACCAAACAATTGAGTCCAACAACGCTTATCCATGAGTCGACACAAGCTGTCAACATACAAGGTAAGCGGAAAAGGAAAATTGAAAGTGGTTTACTGTCAATCTCAAGGGTGCATCGACAGATTTAAAAAACCTTTAAACTCTGTAAATGATTCAATTCCCTTGACAAATCTTTCACAGTTGGATCCCTGAGCCTCAGGATGGCTAAGATCCGCAGAAATAGGAGAAAAAAACTGAAGTAGTGAATCACACACAGACTTCTGGGGAGGTGTGAGTGTGTTTGTCATTCCCCGTCCCCAAAGGCTCGCGCTAATCCTGCTGCCGTTTTATGATCTACCAAGTGCGTCAGACTGTTTCCATTCCAGAGAGACCCTTCAGCCACCTTTCCTCTGCACTCTTACGCCGCACATCCACAGTTCTCTTGGTCCACAGCCAGGTACCCGAAGCCTCTCATCTAGACGGAGAGGCCGAGGGGGTTTGAGTGAGTCAGAGTATTCAAATTCACTTTTTTAATGTTTTTCTGTTTGTATTTATTACCAGAGCAGAAGCATTTGGATGAGTCTGCACTCTAAACACTGTGATCTGATGGTTTTTAAAGGTGAAACAAACTTTTTCCAATTTATTCACATTTACCATCATGAAATTTGATAAATTAATGAATTAATTCTGCAGATAAAACAAACACTAACAGGTTTTTGTCCCAGTATTCTGGATTAAAAAGCCTGTTTGTTAATGTTTCAAAAGAAAAATGTCATAAATTTAAATTAAACAGACACAATTGTGCTCTCCCCACACTTCCCAGGTGTCTTTAACTTTTACTTGTGCAATAGCGACCTCCTGTGGTCAGGGTGATAAGGCGCACAGTGCTGCATTTCTACACTAAGTTTTTGGACGTTACCATGGCAATTTTCTGTCTGAGACTTTTAGAAGTCAATTCGGTGTCTGCACATTTGATTACAAAGGAATTAAAGCACAAATAGAATTGATTTATTATTCATAAAAGGTAAAAGTTTAACTAGCTGCTGAATTATGATGTTTCATTAAAGCTTTTGGACCTCAAAAGCCACCTTTGCTTGTCGATTCTTGCCGATTGGAGTAGTTCGCTGAATATTTACACACTGCCTGCACCTTCAATCATTTGTGGATTAAATGTTTTCAGTCACTTAGAAATGTAGTCTCTTTTCATTTCACCTACCTCTCCAGACGGCTGTAACACTGAAGCCTAAACTTTGTCACACAAAACATTGATCCTTTCAGAGGCAGTGTCATGAGAGGACATTTAATAGTGTTTAATTTAACAGATAACACCGGCCTCTAAACACTCTTGGTTGTAGTTCAATATAATAAGTGCGTCTCTACAAAAAAGGAAGAGGATGGATTTTAATGAATGATTATATTTTAATTCTTAAAACTGGCATTGAAAAAATAAGTAAAAAAAGACAGGTTAAAACCATCTTAGATTTTTGTCTAATACATTCTCATTTATAAATCGTTTTAAAGCCCAAAAAAAGTGCATCAAAAATATAGATTTGTATACATAGATGCAGATTTACATCCTGACTATTGATGCGTCTGTTGCTTGTTAGATTTTATCAGCGATCTCTTTGAGCTGAGGGTAGGTCTTCATAATTTCAGGATCTTTGAGAAGTTGGAGAAAGTCCTTGCAGGAATCCTCACCATTACTCAACACCTGATCAATTATTGCAATAACGGCTTTTTCTGGAATGGAGCTATGCTTAATATTATCGTATTGTCTGCGTGTAACAATCCCTTTGGATTGCACATGCTGAAGGATGAAGGTGTGATCTCCACTCAGCCAGTCGGTCAGCTTCACCTTCTGCTCAACGATGAATTTCCCAGCAGGGCCCTAAAAGGAAACGCAGGTTTAGGGAAACTGGTACTTTGAGCCACTTTGAGATCAATCCTTTAAGATTTTCATGGGTCAGCATGTTGAGTTTGCTATTTTTCCACTTTGTTTGATGTGTACCTGAGGGGAAGGCGTCTCAGCTGCTTTACCTGTAAAAGGAACAAAGTTAGCATGACCCGGTATACAGAGGAAGTGTTGTTTTGGGCAAAAAGTGAAAAGTTACCTCCTCGCCGTTTTTTTGTAGATATCGACAGATTGATTTCGTCACAATCGCCTTCTATGTTGTCAGTACAGATCACACTGTTGTTCGTTGAAGTAAAATCTGCTCGACAGGCTGGTCCAGGAGTTTTCCCTAAACAAGGAAGGAAACAAGTTCAAGAAGGAAGGGAAAGCTGCATCCTCGACTCAAACATGTAGTGTTGCGAACATGAGGAACAATAATACCTACCAGATTCACTGTCTGAATCAGATTCACTGTCTGAATCTCCGCCTGTTTCGATGTTCATCTTGATGGATTTTGATTTTAATTTTATGTTTCTCTGGGTGATAACGCTGTTGTCGTCGGCAAACATTGTTGGAACGGGAGGACCTGCAAATATGAACAACAGTTTTTATTGGTATTTCCTTTTGGACTGGCTGAGAGTCCTTTTACAGTGACAGTGAAAAGACCAACAGGCCTCACTTAGGTTCTCATGTTTCTTATGTGGTGTTATCCATCATGGCACCAAAGTTAATACAACTCCTCTTTTCATTACAGTCACTTACTGCAGAGAGTTTTTAAGAGCTTTTACAGCAGACTGAAATTGACTCCAGAGTCTTTTTATATCTCATGAAAACAAACAAGACAACCGGCAACAAGATCAGCATTTCAGTACCTTACTTTTTCAGTGTCTAACTCGGTGTTTGACCCTAACTTAATTTTACGCCGTAATATCCTTTTAAGTGATAAGATCGACATTCAGTGTAGATCTTTGCCCAAAGAGGGCGCAAAAAGGACTCAAACGATAAGCTGCTGTCAGGAACTTTTGATTTTGCCACCTCAAGAGGACAAAAACGTTCCTCTTAGCTCATCCTTCCTGTGAGTATCTGCGATGAAAAAACTGTTTCTTCAGCTTCCTGTCGATCATCTTCTCCCTCACTGCAACTCCAGGCATTAAAGAGTACAACAGACAAACTTCTCAGTCTTGTTGCTGATGGTCTTGTGTGCTTTCAAAGGTCATAAAGAGGCATCAGTATCAGTTTTAGTCTGTTTTTTTCTTTTTAACCAGTTGAGTTATGTGATTTATACATAGTCAGTTTAATTCCATTTATTAAGGATAGCCAATTGAGATGAAACAGCTCATTTTTTGAGGGGGTTTTAAACTCGAGTCGTAAACACATAAATCTCCAGGAGTAATATAAACAAACCCAGCCCTCAAACCCGTCCTCTTTCTTATCACATCTCTGCAGACCACTGACCACTTCCAGACGTAGTTTTCAAGTGACTCAACCTCAAGAAAACTATATTAAAAAGATTTAATTCAACACCTTTTTATACGATTTTGATTTATTCTGATGCCAATGCACTGTTACATATGTTTTGTTGTTAAATGTGTCTAAACTGTTGTGAGAAATGTGTGTAAACTGCTGGCTGTGAAGCAAATTGCCCCCCGGGGGGATAATAAAGATGAAGACCAGATCATGTAGTTCAACTCTGTTTAAGCAGGTCCTAATAAATGAAGCAGCAAACTTTAAAGAAAGTTCCTGTACTCTTAGAGAAAGAGTAAAGTCCTGAAGAAGAATCTGCTGCTGTTTTAGTTCACCTATAAAGACACATACCTTGAGCTCCCGTGGATGACTCTGGTTTCTCCATGATCTGCAGAGAAACAGAAAAGTCAGCACAAAATCTAAAGGCAGTTTGAAAGAGGAGGAGGTTGGTTTTTTTTTCTATTTGCATTTCTTGACTCCACCCTCATATCCGTCTCTGGAAAATCGAAAGTAAACGCCTGTTCTTGAGAAATACCTGAAATGTTCTATATGATACCAAGACGAATGTTACCATTAGCAAAAATAAAGAATACATTTAAAAAACAGTCGTTAATTAAGATTTTTTTTATATTGTTGTTTGTTTTTTTCTTTTCCTCTGTTATCTACTCTTGTCAGCCCCGACCACAAAACCAGCGGCAGTTTTACGCACAGCTGGCCCAAACAGGCGCTCTGACCTGTTAATGGTTCCAGTGAAAAACTTAAACTCTCTCCATAAGACTGTAAAGTATGATTAAAATCCCTGTATGCGTATGCAAACACTAATGACATTATATCAAAAACAAAAACGGCAGCTTTAGCGCGGTAACTCTGGCAACATCTGGAGTCTATGGGTACAACTGAATTGGATTAAAACGCTTACCTGTATCAAGCGGAGGTTATGGTGAAAATAAAGCCAGTGGGTGTTAGAAGACGATCACCTCAGGGTCTGATCGATAAAAAGTGAAACTCCTCCCACGAACTTTAACTCCTCTGCCTTTACGCACCAAGTTTAGAGGGCACTTCCTCATTCTTCTCTCACCCTTAAGGCGGAGACTGCAGAGTGTGAGGAGATGTTGATGTAAACACAGTTTCAGACACAGACCTTACATGGAAATACACGTTTCCGCGTCGAGGATGGAGATCAGGGTTCTCCTTTAGACTCATCTAGACTAAAGTTTAATGATTGAAAAATGTCAGAATGTTAAACGCCCAAAAGAAGGTAATGATCCTGAGTAGAACAGTCCGTCTGGATGTATACTTATGTCAATCAGCCTCTTTTTACCCGAATTAGACAACAAAACTCCAAACTCGAAGCTAAGAGCCTCGTAAAATTTGACACACAAATGAGCGTGCTGAGCAGCAGGTCTTGGCTTTGAATAATAGACACACACAACTCAGAAGAAAGCACACAATCAGGAGGAGCAGTGGCGGTTCTAGACCAAATTACTCCCCGGGCGAGCACCCCTCCAATGCCCCCCCCCCCCCCCCCCCACACACACACACACACACACACACACACACACAGATAGTTTTGTATTACTATGTAGTATTATTATTATTATTATTATAACAACAAAAATAAAATATTTCTCAATTGCAGAAATCCTTCAATAGAAAAAAACACAATCCTGAGGGCCATTTTGAGAAGGGCCCCCAGATCCTGAGGTTCTCTGACGTGTTAAGGTTTACAAAAAAGCTGCTATCTCTGCCTCTGTAGTAGATAGAAACAAAATTCAAAAAGTATTTGAGAGCTTAAACATGTGGCTTTCAAGAAAGCTCTCTTTTAGTTTTGCGAACCTTTATCACATTTTTGAAAACCTTGAACAAACAAACTTAAACGAAATAAAGCGGCTGTATAAATAAAAGTAAAGGCTCTGCACTGGAGAATGACAAATAATTTGTTTTCTGTAAAACAAGTGGCAGTCATGATAAAGTGTCCATTCAATACAAATGTAAATATAGAAAATAAGGTGTTGAAAGGGTAAACAGCTGCCCCAGTATAGTGCCAGTACAAAAGCAGAACTAAAAACTAAAAAATGAATAAATAAATACGTGGCTGACAGTGTGTTCATCTCTGTTCTCACCCAAAGTCATGCAACACTCACAGAAAACGCTGATAGTGTGAGCCACAGCACTCCATATGAAGAGGTTGTTCACACTGCTGGATGTTTCTCCTCTGAAGCTGCTCTCTGCCTCCATCATTGTTTACTTTACTCATGAAGCTCATCAAGCACGTAGCAAGATCCGAGCATGAACCCGAGCGCTTTATTCGTCTATCAGAGGCAGACGGGTACGGTGATTTCATTCACCACGACTCCAGAAATGATTAAAAAACTACAAAATGACGTATCCGCGCTCCCGCTGATATGCTGACATGCGTACACAGAGCAGAGCAGTCCCCCCGCGACTCTCTCCCCGCCTCGTCTCATACAGTCTGTCAGCCTCTGTGCAGCACCTCCGGAGCAAGCAGGGGCGCCTACAGCAGCGGGGGGCGCCAATTTGACAACAAGAGTTAATACAAAACCGCTTTGCGGTTAAGATTTATTATTATTATCTTTTATTTTATTTTTTTGGAAGTGCTCGTGCCGCCCCCCATGAGTCACGACACAAATGCCGCCCCGGGCGGCTGCCCTGTTCGCCCGTGCCTAGAACCGCTACTGAGGAGGAGAAAAGTGACATAAATGTAAACAGGTTGTTGTTGTTGTTGCGCACTCCTTCAGCGGTGCCAGAGTGCGTCTTTACGCACGAGTGTCACCGCACCGTTCATGAATACAGGTGACACTGATAACTTCTCAAGATGATGCCGAACAGGGACGCGTCTCACCCGGAAACATCATCATGATTTAAAGATTGAAGACAGATATAAGAACTGCTTTTAATCAGAGTACAGAATGAGTACGTTTCCAGCATCCATCTGTTCAAATTGTAGCCTAGAGTGATATGATATAAATGAACGAACCATCAGGTAGAGCGGAATTCATCACATTCATAGTTTTACGCACGTGCGTAAAACGGCTGTACCACCTCGGTGGAATTTACAAAACCATGATGTTCGAAGAAAATGTGGAGATATTCTGCATGAAGGATTTCTGTGAATGTCAACTCTTTGTTTCTTTCTTTGTTTCCTTCCTTCCTTCTTTGCTTCCTTCCTTCTTTCTATCTTTCTTTGTTTCCTTCCTTCATTCCTCCTTTCTTTCTTTCTTTCCTTCCTCCTTTCTATGTCTTTGATTCCTTCCTTCTTTCTTTCCTTCCTTCCTTCCTTTCTTATTTACTTTTTCCTCGTGTGTATAAAAACAAGTGCCAAACATATGAAGCATCGACAATCGTATTAGACAGAGTGGAAACAAACAAAACTCAACAAAACAACAATAATACAGTTCGAGGACAGAAAGAAGCAGAACTTCTCATGTCCTGCTCCTACCCTTACAGTCTTTACCAAAGCATCAACATTCTACGTGTCTCTGAGTGTGTGCGTGCGTGCGCGTTGCACATGTGCCAACAATCCAATGAAATAAATAAAAACAAAATCACTATGACAAAAAAACTCACACAATAAGGCGAAAGACAGCGCTTCAGCCAATGATCACAACAACATAAACACACATTTATGCGCTCTTCCTGCTCCTGCAGCTCCACAAGACTTCTGTCATTTATAATCAACCTTCTCCTCTGTCATCCAGCAGGTGATTAATCTCTCAGTGAAACAGCATTTCTCACAGAGACACAGCAGATACAGAGAGAAAAAAAATATCACGTACTTACTATGAGACGTCTTCGTGTCAGAATCACGCACGTGCTGGTGGTGAGGTTTAGCGTCAGACATCAGCGGTTTGTTTGCAGTCCAGGTCCTCGATCCTTCAGCCACCAGATCCAGATGCGACATCCAGTTGTCCTCTTCGTAAAGTTTAATCCATCTTGTGCGAAGGAGTGATTGTCGGGTTTTGCGCATTTATATGGATCGACCCCGGCCTCAGGAGGAACAGATATTCTCATGGAAACAGTCCGTGCTTTTTATATGTTCTCCACAAACGCCACCAAACCTCGTGGAGCTCCAATGGAGGCTTCTCCCGAACTTCAGCCATGAAAACCCAGAAAATATATGACTATATGGGAATGACTGTCAAACTGTGGGTCCATAATTTCTTTAGCGACTGCTTGACTTCGACAGGAAGGCCGCTGCATGGGGGTTTAGGTTCGCTCTCATCGATTATCAGTTCGGTTTGAGTGTTAAAAAGTGATTTATTGTTCAGAAGGAGAAAAGAAAACACGCTGATCCAGGTTTAAGTCCTCGACCTTCGAATGAAAAGTGATGAGATGAGATGAGGTTGAAACAAGATCAGAGCTTATAAAACTACTGTCTGACTACACCTGTGAGGTTTAAATTACCCGCCAAAATCCCAAAACCACACCCCTCTGTGACGATGTCCGGAAGTGACGCACTTATTAGAAATCAAACTCAACAAACATATTTTGGCTCCTACAATTTCTGTTTCCTCACCACTGCTGCCTCTTCGACTATTGTTTATTGTTTATTGATCACCATAAAAAAACTTCCAGTATATCTCCTTATTTTCGTTGTATTCCCTCATCCTCCTCATTTCAGACATCTCCTTATTAACCTCATTTAATAACTCCTCCACCTTCAACACTCACCTGCAGACTCACCTGTAGGCTCAGCTGGTGTCTTCCTTCCTTTTTTTATTATGTTTTATGCCTGGATCGTTTTAAAATTAGTCAGAGGCCAATAATTTAAAACGTGTATTTGCAGTTATAGGGCTGTAAAATGCAATTATTCACATTTATGAGAAAGGACTGGTCTGTTAATTCAGGTCAGATTCTCAAAAGTGACACAAGGGGGCAGCAAAGTCAGCCTCAAGTCCATCTATCTTGCCCCAAGTCCAGAAATCCTGCTGTCATCAAATCAGTCTGCAAATTAAGCACATACCTTATTTCTTTGGGGAAATAATATTTTTTTTAATGGTGTCCAAATCATGTGACAAACTTTACTCAAATCAGTCTCAGACGTTCATTCTCACATCTACAAATGAGTCATTTTGTTTTTGCTCTTTATTGGTCCACCATTAATCTATATCCCTTTTTGGAATAGATTACACATTGCTTTGCCTTGTATTTGCATAGTTTTATTCTGTTTATAGTTCAAAAAGTGAGGAAAAAAACACTCAAACTTTGTTATTTTTATTTTTTAAAAATTCACTTCATTACAAAACAAACAAAACATGGACATAAAACGAGCAAAATGATATTATTAGGATAAAAACCATGAATAATGTTAGCAGTTTGTTACTCTTGATAAAATTAAACATTTTAAACTTTTCCCTATTGAAAGTTGACAGAAAGACGATCTGAAACAAGAGGAAAAATGTGGATAATGGCTGAATGTAAGAAATATTGAGGATGAAAATAAGAGGTATAAGTAGTTCGCCCAGTTCCAGCGTCCACCCTCAAGCGTGTGCACCAGACCCTCATTTTTACACAAAGGAAACACTTTTCTGTTTGTTATGAAGCTGAAAATACCAACGCAGAGAACAAAACCTCACCACAGATTCACATTTCTTACACTGTCTTACATTGTTCATAATTCAGCAGAGAGGATGTGCTTTAAAGACTGTGAATCGGAGAATGGTTAAACTTCTGAACATGCAGGACTGAAGCAAATTAGTCTGACTGGAATGACGGTCATCTTCACTTGGATTGACACTGATCGTAAAATGTCAGCAGTAGACGAGGAAGATTTCGAGTTTATTACTGCGGTTGTGTGTTTTTACTGCTGGATGTGCTTTTTACAAAAGTGTTATTCCGCTCCAGCGTCACAGCTCTCCTCCCGGACGTCTGGTTCAGTTCGCTCATGTCCACTCCTGAGTCTAAGCTCGTCTCCCTGCTATCTGCCGGCCTTCGCCTCCTCTGCTGCTCCGTCACCGCGTAGTGGATCTCGGCTGCAGGCTTCCCCTCCAGCGATACAAACCAGGCCCGGGGAGGCTGCAGAGAGGGGATTTTAGAAAGATCTCCAAACGCATGCACCGAGTGTCTGCTGCCTGTCATTTTGCTTAATGTTCCAGGGACTGATGCTGACTCCGGGAGGCTGAAGTGACTCCTAGATGGACTGGCAGGCGTGTCTACCTGAGAGTCCTCTTGAGGACCAGGCTCCCCTTCATTTTCCACCCTCTGGCTTTGGGGGGTAGAGGGCCCTTTAGGCTGAGTCTGAGTGAAGCTGTCTTTCCTCGGCGGCTCAGCTGTAGCGCCGTTTGAAGCCCCTGCACGGGGGAGAGTGGCTGACTTGCTCCACTGGGGCTGCCCCGGCTGCTCCTCCAAATGGAAGAACGCCGGAGTGTGAAGAATAGCAACAGGCTGGTTGTAGAAAAACAAATTCTCTGGCAGTGAGGTGTTGATCAGATCCAGCTCGTTGCACTCCACAGCGATGGCCACAGCTCCAGGGTTGGCGATTACGTTCCCATTGTGCAGAGAGAGAACAGAGGCGTTGTGCAGATTGTCCCCTTTTTCTCTCGAAGACTGGTTCAGACCGTCCTGCGGATGACGGGAGTCCCCTGAAGACACCTCAAAAACATCATCATCACACGTGGAGGTGGTTTGGTCTTTTTTCGTCACAGCAGGGATTCTCTTTGTTTTAGTTTGCCGGGACGAACTTCTGCAGATGAGACAAAAAACGTCAATTATACGATGCAAACAAGAAGAACGATTGTTGTGCATCTGTCTAAAACTGAAGCACCCAGAGGCCCAAACCCAAACTTGTGGATTTGACAGTTTTGCAAAATCCAATCATTTCTAAAACTCTCTGATCAAAACCAGTGTTTGAAAATCATCTTCTGTCCTCATGGTTTTCACACAGCTTTAAGAAAATCACTTTCCTGACCTCATTTTGGCGCCTAAACACATCCAGCTGGACAAATGCAGCATTATATTCTAAAATTATCAGGTTTTAATCGGACTGGATGCTACTTTGCAGATAGAAAACCCTTGAAAAAGTTCATACAAAGTAAGAGTTTCTGTCTTATTTTTAGTCAAATATGATTTATTGTTTCATAAAAGTAAAATTCCCCTGACAAGTCTGGAGAAATGTTTTATTTCAGGATATTACGAGTCAATTTTAAGACCTGAAGTGCTTGTAATGACTGAAAAATCTGCCAGTAGGGTAAGAAAAATTGGCCTGATTAGTTTCTGAAACAAAGACGTTGATCTCACTTCAAGAAACTTAAAGGTGGGGTAGGCAGGAATCCGTTAAAGAAGCATCTTATTTTGTGGTGTATATACAAAAATGCTTTTAATATGAGTTTGGGAAGTTTGCAGCTTGTTTTCCCTGACTTTACCAGTAAATACATCATGACAAAATCTCTCTAACTACTCCTGTAATCATAAAAAAGCCTGGCTCTGAGATATTTGAGGTGTTTTATTAGATTATTTATTTTAACAACTTAAAATAATAAGTAAAAAGCAACTAAAGAAAGTTCGAGTCCATAAGGAGAACTTTTTTATACTTTTTTTGGTTTAAAATGTGCCTCTCTAACAAGCTTGGACAACGCTCTGGGTGTATTTCTGGGTGTTATAAATGCGACCAGGATGGCGTGAAATCCTCAGTTACCTGCGACAAAACAATAACCCGACCAGAAGGAAGATGATGATAAGAAGACTTCCTCCCAGAATAACCATCAGGACAAATGAATGACGCAGGATGAAGTCAATGGGGATGGCAAGTCCAAAGAAACCTGAAGCAGCAGGAAATAATAGGATGAGAAATAAATAAAACATGGCGAGAAATCATCGCAAACTAAAAGAATGGGTTAAGATAACCTTAAACATAAGAATAATCTGATGCTTTTTTACTGGTGTGCATCAAATTCAGTGGTTAAGTAAGGTCAAAGGTCAATGTGGGGCGATCACATGCCTCTGGGCGGTGACAGAGGAGCAGCTATCCAGTACCCAAGGTGAGGAGCTGTGAAGGTCCACGTGAGTTTTCCCTCCACTGACACCACAGACCCCAGTCCTTTCCTCATCCACCCACCTGTGAGAAAATTATGAAAAAAAACACCTTAAAAAACTCTGAATCTGGTCTGGACTTAAGTGAACCCTAGATCAGGTCTTCACAGGAGTCTGGGATCAGTAATCCTTCTTGTATCACCCACCAGTGGTGCTGTTGAAGAACCACGCAGGGACGCTGTTGGAGGTCTGGAGTCCACAGTTCTCAGGAAGGCTGAGGCTGATCTGCACCGGTCCACTCACATGTAACTCAGAGTCTCCTGAGAAAAGCTGCACACTGACGGCTGCTACCGGACTCAACTCCACACTGACGTACCCTGAAAAACACAGGAGGGGACGCTTCAGTGGATCATTTACACATAATGGATCTGCAGAGCTCCAACAGTTACTTTTAACATCTATACAAGTTTGTGTAACCTTTATAATCAATATTCAGTTGAACACACATGTACCTGTATTGCTGTTCATGATTCCCAGAGTATTCAAGACGGTGTCGTCCTGTGACGGCAGCTTGGGGATGGTCAGAAAGGCTTTAACCGCTGTGATGGTCCCGCTGTCTGTCAGATTCAGCAGGCTCTTGGGAAACTGGACGACAGGCAGTGATGACGCATCTAAAAGACACGAAAAAACAGCGGATATATTTTCAGGACAGTGCAGCTGTCAAATATGATTATAATCATGGAGGAAAGCAAAGAGTAAATTCAAGCATGAGCATTAAAATGTGTTTTTCTTTCTTTCTTTAAAAATTCTTTTTATTGAGTTTCCCTTGGATGTATTTTAACAGCGAATGTCAGGGTGAGGGGATTCACTTCAACACCAAAAAATAAATAAATAAATAAACAATATTTAAAAAATAAATAAATAAAATAATATATAATAATAATAAAAATTATAATAATAATAATAAAAATTATAATAAAATATTAATAATGATGACTATAATAATAATAATTAAAATAATAATAATAAATTAATAATAATAATAAGAAGAAGATAATAATAATAATAATAATAATAATAATAATAATAATAATAATAATAATACATTCATAATCTAATGAATTAGATTAAATTAAAAAAGGAAAGGAAAAAATAAATAAAGTAAAGTAAAATACACAAATAAAGAGTAAAAATTAATTAAATAAAGAAAGTAAATTTAAAAAAAGGAAAGAAAAAAAGGGGGGGGGCAAAAAGACAAATACAAACACACAGGAAGGGACAACAAAGGTAGTCTTGCATTCAATCACACAAAGTGTGTTTTTAACAGAAAAAGTACCTGAATTTTTTCCAGTGATCTTGACCAAATCGTCAAAGAGCCAGACGTTCCCCTGGTTCAGCCTCAACAGTGACACGGTCACAGATGAAAACACTGCAGAAATAAACAAACAGAGATGAAAATAAACAATGAATGTTTCTACCACTAGAGGGCAGAGTAACCCTGAGCTTTTATTGGCAAGAACACAACCTGACACACTGTTTTTCATGGTAGTGGTGGGTGTTATCAAAGCTTCTTATGCACAAATAGAACAACACTCGGTTGTCTGCTGTCATTTGAGATGAAAAGCGCCGTTAGTGCTCTAATTTAGGGGTCCAGTGGGGCATGTGAAGCAAGCAGCAACCTCTGATGGTGAAAAATGAACCTAGAGAGGAAGTGTAAAGAAAGTCTTAATGTAGCTGTTGACTGAAGAAAAGGGAGAAAACGACACTGCTTCTCTGTCCTTGGATTCAGCTCTGAATCTGCAGTGAGGATGTGCTCATTTAGCTGAACAGTTGTCTCCCTGTCTGTTCTTCAGGATTTTGAAATAAGTAGTTTCAGATCATCCCAAACCTGCAGGAACTTTCATCACATAACCAATAAATATCTTACAGGGCATCCTGCTGGCTTTATACGGCAGCAGTGAGAGCATGTATCCATCTTTGCTGGCCACGATGGTGATAGGCAGATCATCTCGGTATGGTATACTCAGCAGAACACCACCATCCTCCCCTGTGAGAGCTGTGGTGGTCCTGGTGTAGTTGATGTAGACCTCCACCGTCGCCTGGCTCAGAAGTTGGCGGCTCAGCACGGCGTTGACCTGGACTTTCAGGTTGAAGGCAGAACCTGGAGAGAAAATGCAGATTAGGCTGAGACTACGTTTGTAAAGCTGATTTAGTTTAAGAAAGACATTTTCAGCTGAGCATCAAAGTTCAAGCGAGTTCAGGTTACAGCAGACTGAAGTAATCAGTAAATGTTCTCTGACCCCCTCAGAGTTTTCACAGCTCCATAAAGAATTACAGCGTTTTGTTGTCGGCTACATTAACAATTAACCCCGAAGGCACAACTTTGACAATGAAACAGGAAAAGTAATTTGCGGACTCCCTTGAGGATACCAATCGATTAATCCCAGAGGATGTAGCAGAGGGGCATGCAAATACAAATGCTTAATTTGGCCAATTAACACAGAGAAGCTTAAATTCAAGACAGAGTAACGCTGCATTTGTATGCAGACTGCTAACAGGGCATCTTTCTCTCACACAGGATCATTTCCTGTTTTCAGGTTGCTCCAGGAGAATCCCATTTAGCTCCCTAATGATAATGTGACACCTTATCCTCAAATCTAATTAGCCACTTTGACAATCTGTGACAACGCCCACAAGTGGGTTGACGGCACACGGGCTGTTTCCCATATGAATGAGAGGTTGTTGTGAGAATAAGCAAACTTAAAAAGGGATGCACACATGGAAAAATACAGATGATTATATGAAATGCTACATTTTTTCTCAGTTAATAGACTTTGACTGTTTGTGCAAACAGATGACACTTCATCTTATCAGGCCTGCTTTTTGCACAAAAACTAAAACAAAGTATGTCATAGTTATCAACACAGCTGGAACTTAATGATTAAATAATAAGCCTTTTTTTATACCTCCCAACATTTAAAGCTCCTCTGGATATGTTTTATAACAAAATTCACTCTGATGCCTTTTGATGATGAAAAAAAACAAGAAGACCATAAGGGACATTAAGGACAGGAATTTTTTGGCGCATGAAACTATTGGGGGAGTGTAGGTGTCAGGCATAGACTGTATATTGCTGCGTTTGAGTTGTAACCGGAAATCAGAATTTCCAAGTTCCGAGTCGGAAATTCATCTGGAATGCCCCACCGAAGTCAGATTTCCAACTCGGATAATCAGACGATCCTCACCGACCCCAATTTGACGACAACGTCATAATCCAAGATGGCAGCGCACTGCCTCAACAGTAAAGAATAACAGTGAAAGCTCTTGTGATGTATTATTTATCAGCACTTCTGTTTTGTTTTTGTGAAATTAAATAGTAGCAGAGAGGCGCACTCAACTATGTCTTGATTTTGCCAGAAAGCTGTTCAAGTCCAACTTCAGAAACTGGCTACCTCCACTTAGGAAAGAGATCTCTGGACGACAAACACGGAATGGAGATGACCTGGACACCCCAACATGCCGAACTGAGAGATATAAGAAATCACCAATCCCATATATGTGCAGGCTGTTAAATGAGAATGGTGTTTAGCTTTTTAAGTTTCTAGGTTGTTGCTTCTTAAGCTGCATTTTATATGTTTTATTTTTTGTAATCAGCAAAATAATTCAGTGTTTTTAATGGCATCTGTCTTTTTTAAACATCTGTGATCATGTTGAAAGCTGAATAAACATAAACATATATGTTGTACTGCCCAACGTCTAACTGTGAACACAGTGCTACGATGTTTGTAAGAGTAAAATACAGTGTTATGCGTTGTTTATGACTATTATAGCTAACAACGGCTAACAGCAGACTGCTAACAGCAGGTTGTCAAAAAGTGCATCAATCTGAGTGAACACCAGTCATACAGATGAGGTTTGATTGTATGGAGCAGTTGGCAGAGTGACGCGGCCCCCTGAACTGAGCAGCACCACCTTAAAGAAACTGCCTTTCAGCTGTAAAACTGCCAACACTGGCTGCTGCCAAGGATTTTCTTCTTCACCTACTGCCCTGTTAAAAATATCCTCCACCAAACTGCACTGAAGCTACGCAGTTCAGGGGATAAGAGCTTTGGGAGCCATACATCTCATTATCCCGCACCTTACTCCTTTAAATCTTAACTACACTGCAGTGTATGTGTTTACTGCCAGAGGGCTATAAAGGAGGTACTTATAAGTTAGTAAAAGATGAAATTCCCTCTAATACAGCTGTCTAATGTAGTGAGCATCAGCAGTAGTTTTATTTGATGCTGTTGCAGGTCTCATTGCTTTAATCCTGCTGCTAAAAGATCTGCCAAAAACACATAAAGCCACCTGCTTCCACAATACAAAAAAAACAACAAATGCCAAAAACAGATCATCTCATATTATTGGCCCAAACAAGTCCCTCTGATCAGGGGCAGATGAATGCCTGCAGCTACCGGGAATTACTCGCAATTTCAGCCGCAATATCAAACAAACATTCACACTTGGCGGGGTTTGTATGGACTCACATGGACGCTAACGGAGGTGCAGAGCGACAAGTAAACGTGTCTTTTGGGAGAAGTCGCCTCCTCTTCATGTGCGCCCCGCCTAGGTGGTCAAACATAAGAAACGGGGGTCATTACATCCGAAGTGGAGGTGTTTCGTGACAGATTACTATAATCTCCCCATTTGGCGGACTGAACCTCCCCACAAAGAGGTTTATGAAGTGGATTGGGATGGGCCGTCTGAGCCACCGAGGCAGATGAGACAGAGATCCTATGATGTGGGTGAGATTCTGATATTGACAGACACACAAGAGGGCTGCTCTCCAAAACAGGGACTGAATTGATCTGAGTGAGGCTTTTTCAGGTGTTGCACAAAGGTGTTCTCAACATGAGCTCCAGTACCCACTTCATTCTGATTACACTGGAACCAAAATAGGTCTTTTTGTCAAAGTAAGCCAAAGAAGATGTGTGAGCAATAACTTTTCTAGCAGACAAGCCATGACCTGGATAGTAAAGCATAACTGCATCATGGCGAGCTGTAATTACTCAGCAGAAAATACCTGTCGTCAAACATATGAGGATTTGACATCAGGAGCACCGAGACATATCCCAGAGGCCCCAGGGTCAACTTGGCAGTCAGTGCAAAGAACAAGATAGAGTGAACAGACCTCTCCGAACATGCAAGTGCACGTGTGACTCTTGCAGCGTGTTTATAGTGCTCAGCCAGCTGCAAAATATGCAACCTTGCAACACACAGAACAGTTTTCAGCTGCTGTATCAGACGTGACTAAATTTAACTTTGTTAGCTTCGCATAAAATGTTGGTTGAATTAGCAAATAAGTGACACCCTGTTCACATGAGAGAGTCGACCCCTGCTGTCATTAAAATTTGACAATAATTTTGAGGTCATGTCAAACATACAACATGGTTAAAGGGATATTTGTAAAATTAATTTAGGGTCAAACACACTTTAACACCGGGTTAGACACCCCCTCGAGAGATAAATGTTGCTGACCGCTTGCTTCTCTTGTTATACCAACTTTAGTAACAACCGCACAATAGCAATACACAATAGCAGTTACTTCAAGGAAATGATAAAGAAATGATCATAAATGTTCTTCCTTGAGCTGCAAAACTCCGCTGTAGTCCGTAATGGAGTGGCCCAAGATCTCGCTACAAACAAGCGGCTGCTGGAAGAGAGTAAGTAAGTTGTGCTTAGTCTCTTCACTAAAGAAATTAGGCAAAGTTAAAAAGATGTTTTGTGGCTAAGACCCTATATGTCCTGTTGATGAAGTTAGGTGCTGTTCTGAGCATTAATTGTGGCTATAGAGTGGCGTTTTGGTTGAGATTGGTTTATGGCTCCTCAGACCGCTGTGTATTGCTATCGTGCGGTCGTTATTAAAGTTGGTATAACAAGAGAAACAAGCAGTCGGCAACATTCATTTCTCGAGGGAGTGTCTGACCTGGTGTTATGGTGTGTTTGACCATAACTTAAATTTATGCTGGAATATCCCTTTAAGTTGCTGTTTTACAGAGAAAATGTATTTTAGTTGAGCGAGTCACAATCCAACAAAGCATGGGGTGCTCCAGTGCCAAGTGGAAGATGTCCATTGCTTGTACTTGCTGGATAATAATAGTATTATACATATAACATAATAACTGATGTGCACAAGATATAAAAAATATCACCCAGTGGGACTTCAGAAGCTTTAGATAATCCGATTTCGTGTAACGTTTGCAAAATTTCCCCTGAGACTTTGACGGAAATTCACGTCCAGAGAAGGAAGCACAAACATGTTGACTGGTCAGTTCTCGGGGACCCCCATGCAGCACAAACAGATGGTCCAACAGGGATTTATCTCCGCTAACCCCCCAACCCTGCCTCACCACAAATGTGTGTGTGTTTGTGTGCCTGCGTTGGAATTAGGCCACAAATTCCACTGATGGGGGAACAACACGAGTGCATCCTTTAGATATGAAGGCCAAATCTGCCTTTAAGCACGAGTCAGAGCAATCAAATCTGAAGAGACAAAAGATGCTTAGGGTGGAGCTGTACAGGGAGGGGGGACTTTAGGACACATGGACTGAACTGCCAAACAACAAATAGTTATTTTGCAGTCAAATTAAAACAACAGATTTGGAGATTTAATGATTTTTGGCAGGAGAGGACTGAACTGTGCCAGTTATTAAAGGAATAACAAGGACGTCTACTTCAGCATGGGAGGAATGACCATCTGGGTTGAGAAAGAGGTCGTTTGAGTATTTAATTTCCTTCTTGTTATTTAGTGTGTGTCAAAAGGGAGTTAACAGGAGGGCTGGTTGACTGAAAGAAAGGCTAAAAGGAGGAGGTTTGGCCCCGTATGCAGGCAGAGAGGAGGGATCTTAAGGGACAGCACTTCCAAGTATTTCAGCCGGCACCTCAGAGCGCAGGATCATGTGATGACGGGTGGCAATGTACTCCTACAGCTGCATGAATTAGTCATGAATCTGTTGATAAGTGAGCAGGGTCACAAATCCCTCTTTCAGCTCCTCTTCAACGCTCTGCTGTAAACAAGGAGGCTGTCAGAGGGAGTACAGCTGTGAGTGAGTGAGTGTGAGAGAGACACAGAGAGAGAAAGATGCACTCTGTGGAGAGGGATGGGGAGCATATTTCACTTTGAGATTATCACTGCCAACAGAGAGGGATTCTTCTGTAATAATTTAACATTATTAAGTAATGCACAGTGAGTAATATGTTGTATTTTTTGAACGCTTAAGTGCAATTTTTCTTGCAGAGTCAACCTAACATGAAACTAGCTGACAAATTGCTGCTCTGTTGTGTAGTGATGCAGGAAAACTAGGCCAGCAGGAGAAACCGTTACTCATGAAGTGACAGCAGTGAGCTCCCACACCACTTATGACTCATGAACAGATCAGTAGATTTGTGCGCAAATCCTCATGCAGATGGTCCAGGCTGACCAAATCAGGTCATCTATAATCCGTTAGAAGAGAAGCCTTGAATAAAAGGTTGATATAATAATGCAAAAAGTCAACAATAATATTCACTCTCCAGCTCACAATCGTTTTATTTCGTGCGTAAATTCGCGTTTTACCATCTGAGTCGCCTTCTTTCCTGCGATGATTATTTGATTATTTCTACAAACCTGAGCGGGACTCGAGCACTTGCTGTTGGACCTGAATGGACTCTTGTTTCATGTGATCCCAGGCTGAAAAGTTCCCGTCATTGATATGCACGGAGCGTCCTGTCGGGGTAAACTCTGCAGACGTCGCGTCCCCATTCTTGCGTAAAATCAGCGCAAATAAGAGCAGAATCAACGAGCTCATGACTCGAGACGCAAAAATATCAACAAGCAATAGCTGATCGATCGGCGTCACTTGTTTTTGGTCGGTCACGAGTTCGTTTTTTTATTCACGAGGAGAGATGTGCCCACGAAACTGCCATCCCAACTCCAAGGCTGTCAGCCAGTCTTCAAACAAGAGTTAAACCCCGCCCCCTTCTGCTTTAAACTGCCTCATGAGCCAATGTCTGTCAACATATCAACCCAAAATCCTGTCACCAAAATTATAATCAAGAGAAAATGTATTTTTGTGGCCTCCAGGGGAAAAGTAAGAATGTAACGAATAGTAAAATTTGCATTTCCCAATATCAACAAAACGCATTTAGTCACCTTTAATTTAAATGTCATGAAATCTGTATTTAAACGTCTTCGCTGTATTAAATGGGCAGGAAATGTTCATCATTGATTTCTACCAGCAACATAGAAATCTCATTATATTTGTCAACAACTCTCCTGATTTTAAGATTGGATGGCGTATTTACAAACAAAGATGCAGTGACCGAATTTCACCACTAAACGGCGCTGATGCAGTATCAGTTCACAAGAGACACACGCTTTAGTGTCTGTCATTAATAATCCCACTAATTTAATTTTCTTCTACCTGTATGACCAATAATCTTAATGATTTAATAGCGATACTACAAGTGATAGTAATTAGTGTCCTCTACTCATCTGTACATTTGTGGGACTTTTTGAGGCTAGATTAAGCAAATAAATTCATTTCATTGTTATTATGTCTTTTTTTATACATTTATCTCTCTTTCTACATTCCTCTAAAAAAAATTGCCAACATTGAGACAAACAGTACGACAGATTTTCAAAGTAAAAGTACTCTTTTAGTTAGGTTATTGTCACACTAAATAATAATAATAATAATAATAATAATAATGATAATAATAATAATAATCATAAAAATGATAACAACAAAAACAACAATAATGTAATAATAATAATAATAATTAAATAATAACAATTATTATAATGATTATTATAACACTAACAAGGACAATAATAATTAAGATAATAACAGTAGCGATAATAACAAATAATAATAATAATTAAAATAATAATAATAATAATAATAATAATAATAATAATAATAATAATAATAATAATTTTCACTTATAATGCGCTTTTACAGGTGCACGAACGCACTTTACAAGAAACACCGTATAAAATATCGAAAATTTGGAGTCATAAGACCAACAATGTAAAAGGTAAAAAAAAGACCAAATTTAAAGGTTAAAGGCCAATTTAAAAAGGTGTGTTTTTAGCAGTGATTTAAAAGTAAGGGGGGTGGGTCTCGGATGGGTTTAGGGAGTGAATTTCAGAGGGTGGGGGCAGCAGCGGAGAAGTGACCCCTTCTTACAGTGACCCCTTTGACCCCTTATGAAAGTATCTGAACCTGTTATGTCTCATCAGTTTGTCACCCATCACTTTATCGATTGTTCTCTCTGCATTGAACCAAAGTGCAGCTGTTCCATGTGTGCACACACCATTAATTGCAAAATGCAGGGTTTGCTGTCAATCTCAGTGGACTATGACTTTACATAACAACTTAAAATAAAAACATCAAAAATGAGCCGACCCTTTGAGGCTTTGGCATTTGCAGGTGTAATTAGAAACAGGCTAAATCAGCCGTTAACATTTGTGGCGGAGGCATGTTCCGGCTGGTAATGCAAGTTGCTGTGACATAAATTAGTTTGATGTTCTGCTGGCGTCACATGGTCCAAACATCCTCCACTGTTTGCTGTCCTGTAGCGTTATCTCTAAACAGCAATTTGAACAGAATGGTATGAAAGATGTGCACAGTTTGGAGGAAAGTAGGAGCTTGCATGGAAGGTCGTTTCACTGGTATGGGATTGATAACTGATAGTTATCAGTGTTCATAGGCGAAACATTGGCAATGTACCGGCTCTCACTGCCCATTTATCCCCATCTGTCTTTATGTTTGGATATGGGGGGACATTATAGATGCCATGTGGCAAATTATTGAACTTATTGGTTTTAGGATGAGGGTGAAATAGGATGGGGTTCTTCATTGACACAATTTTCTCCCGCTTATCCGGGTCCGGGTCGCGGGGCAGCAGCTTCAGGAGGGAAGTCCAGACGACCCTCACCTCAGCCACTTCCACAAGCTCCTCCAGGGAGATTCCTAGGCGCTCCCAGGCCAGGCGAGAGATATAATAATAATTGGGCCGGCCACAAGGTCTCCTCCCAGTGGGACATATCCGGAACACCTCTAACACAAGGCGTCCTGAGTGTCCGAGCACCTTACCTTATCTCTAAGGCTGAGCCCAGCCACCCTGCGAAGGAAACCCATTTCTGCCGCTTGTATCCGCAATCTTGGTCTTTCGGTCATTACCCAAAGTTCATGACCATAAGTGAGGATCGGCATGTAGATCTTACGGCTCAGCTCTTTCTTCACCATGACAGATCAGTTGAGTGTCCGCATCACTGCTGACGCCGCTCCAATCCGGCTGTCAATCTCCCGCTCCATCCTACCCTCACTCATGAACAAGATCCTGAGATACTCCTCCAGGACCTCCCCTCCGACCCGGAGAAGGAAATCTACCTTTTTCCGACTGACCACCTGATTTGAAGTTAACCAACAATAACTTAAACTTCAAATCAGAGGGGTTCACACATACAGAAAAGAGAGCCCAAATAAGCAACTTCTAGTTAAAAACAAGCTCTAAAAAAAGTGTACCCGCGAGTTTTAAAAGCCCCATCTGAGAGAAACAAGCCTAAAGTCTTTCATAATAAGCGGACTTGGCAACTATAAGGCGTCTACGGACATTTTGCCGATGTTTGAACTTGCCTCTGTTCACGAACGCAGATCTAGGATGTGTGCACGTGTGTCCAAACGGAAATCAAACAACGGATAGGTTTTCAAAATAAAAGCGATGGTTTAATTTTAGGAGATATGTTGTTCTTAGACTTTTATTTCTCAAATTTTCACTAATAACTAACATCTGCTGTGTGTTGTTGCTGATCTTAAAAGCATCCCGTTTTGTTTTTTTGTTTTTTTTTCAGTACGTCTTGATAAAGCTCCAAAACTTATACAGCATCTATCATTCCACACTTCTTTTCTATTATAAAAACTCTGAATACTTTAAACTGGTGGTCAGCCAACCAACATACCCCAAAATTACCTATCTCCACTTCCATCATTCATGCCCGGCTTCAGTTCTGATTTTTCACGCTGAACCTGCAGGTTGGTTTCCTCACCGATGATGTCCGCCCGCGGAGCTTCCTGTCACCAGACCTGTAGTGAATCCTTCCTCGGCCGGCTTCCTCCCCATCATAGCTTTTCTGTGACAGGGGGCCTCAGAGACACAGCGTGCTGACACATTTGTCCTCCCAGCTCTGTTCCCCTGTGACAAAGCATAAATCGGAGACTAAACACACGAGCAGGAGGACGGATGACAGCCCCGAGTCTCCAGGATCAATTTGCCACAAATTAGATACAGTAATGGTTCATTTCTCCACATAAATAGCTGCATCTACGGGGACTATTTTGGAAATCTGTTCGCTTTCACCCTGGAAGTCTGTGCCTGCTCTCTGCTCATCCCCGGCTGCTGTCTTTGATTAATCTTATCTGAGCACGCGTAGACGTCCTCTGTCCGGTTTATTAGACTCTGTTAATAAAGCAGAGAATTGTTTTTGTAGCAGAGTAAAAATGCTCTTTTGGTGTTGGCCTTTCTGGTCACGTCTCACAGTGAACTATTTTCCATTAATATGAAATTTGAGTTCATGGATAATCAGGAAAATAAACTTAGTGAGAAATAATAGTTTCAGCTCTTTTAATAATTTTAAATTAACATTTTTAAACCAATACAAGTTTTTATTATTATCTAACCTGAAAGCACTGGAAGATGGTGACACCCCGAAGGCCTGTCTGGAGGTTGGAGCTCGATCCCAAGTCCACGTAACAAAGCATCCTCAGACAAGACCATAGACTGTATATAGAATGGATGCCGTCCGCCTTCTTTTTGGGGTAAGGCCACCACCGCGAGAACAGCACCCTCTGGTGACGGGCTGCAGTATAGGTCATAAATCCCGCCTCCTCCAGCAATCCCTATGGAGCTGTGGACAAACTTTAGAAATTTATTACACAGAATTTAGATTTATCTCCCCCCTGGTTGTGATGTTGACATGTAGTTACTGTCAGACTGGTTTGTGCTCAAGTCCTCTTTTTCTGTACAGCTCCATTTTTAGGGGGAAACGCTGATGAGCCAAGCATCATCACAGCTACTCTCCTGCCAAATGAGTACAACGCTACTGAGCAATATTGGTTTCAGGAAGTGGAGAAAAATCCTGGAAACACCGAGAGCTTTTTGGCTTCAAATCCGTACACAGGCAGAAGGCGGAACCAAGTTGTCCATAGTATATACAGTCTATGGGCAAAACACTTGACCCTTTACTGCCCCCTACTGGCTACATCCAGCAGTGCAAATGGGATTAGTTAGAACAGCCTTACCTACAGCCTCTGCTATTATGACTGTCAGTGTGTTTACATGCACAGCTTAATCGGACTAAGCTCATAATCCGTTTTTTTTTTTTTTTGCTAAATCAGACTTTTCTCCTTGTCCGCGTATACATGCAGCTGAGAAAATCTAATTATTGACACGAGCATGTCCTCCTCCCCAAAACTAGGGGACGATATGGGACTTTTCAGCAGCGCCTTTTCCGGTTTACCCCATACAACTCTCAACAACAACAACAGGTCCGTACCAGATGTCAGAAGTGTCTACAACTGCTGCTGGGCATTTTCAAGCAAGAAGATGGAGCATCGTACAGCGTTGTTTTTGTTGTACATGATGTGCGCGCTACTTTTTCTGCAGATGAGATGCACGCTACTCCTCTTCTTTGGTGTTTTTGTTCCGGGGTTATGGGGGTGTGGCGCACACGTACATGCATTGTCCGATCATACACCAACTACACCGGTTACACGATAGAGAAAATCGAATTCCAATCACATTATCTGGGTGTCTTAATCCGTCTGTGTGATGTTGATGGGTGGATGTGACACGTAGTCAAAGCACCCAGACGCTGGATTTCCAAAGTTTTGCTTTGTAAAGTTTGAAGTTTTTATTGTGTAATTGTGACGTGCATATATTCATAAGCTCCGCCCACATGGAGGTTGTTTTTAACTCATAACTAAATTCAAGTGCAATTA